CTTCCTTCTCACGAGCATCCGCAAATGCGACATAATCTTCATCATTATCGAACTCAAATGGAGTCGTTGAAGCCCGGTTGGGCCTATCAGTATCAGACTCAGGCTTCACGCCCGCCCCATCCCGTGGTCGACGACAACAGGGCATCGTATCCGATGCCTGCAAACGCCCTCTCCTTGCGCTCATCAAACTGGCCTGGATTTTGAGACCCACTTGATCGACCCGAGATATCTCTCGGAGCCAAGACCACGGTTCCTGGTGCTTGCAGCCTGTCCTCAACTCCTTCCAGGGCTGTGATTCACTTGGAAAAAGAGACCTGGGAGATCGACTAGGCATGGCTTCCAGGTCGTCCGTATGAGGACGAGCCATGTTCATCGCCATACTGATGAAGTCCAAATGTCCTTGTCCGAAACCTGATTCGGAGCCGCCCCTATCGGGGCGAGCTCCTCGTCCTTGCTCATCATCGGTGGCCTGACGGAAAATGCGGTCGTCTCCATCGTCAGTGTGTGCCTGCCACGGCTTCGGGGTGTGTCCCTATCGGGATCATCACCCCTGCGATCCTGACCTGCCGAACCTGCCTTGAATTCCTCGTAGTCGTAGTCCGGCAAGTCCTCACCTGAACGGGGACCACCTAGGATAGCCTCCTCATCCACGACACTCCTGCGAGAGCGTGGGGTCGACGTAGTTGATGGTCACAAGCGCATAGGAAAGTCCTACGGCTGATAACCTGTGATTCGGGCACGAACCTGTGCCCAGGCAACGGGTTAGTTGGGGTAAACAAGCCACAAAGAAAGGTTCCCCAAAAGCAAACCAATCCCCGGTCCCAAAGATCAGGGTTCCCACACACCAGAGAACAACAACCAAAAAGGGAAAAAGGTTAACCCGCAACCTTGATCGACGACAGGCCGCACGAATGGTCCCTACCAACCTGACGGCGGCCCGAGGTCTCTTTCTCCCCCGAGATGTCGGCGGTCGACGCAGGGGTTCGGCGACGCACATCCGAGGCGCGACTGAGCCAAACACCATCGGTCAGTCACTACCGCGACTTCCCAGATGATGATTTAAACCATGGCTAATCACACTCTGTTCTAAGAGTCATCAAGGCGTACACAGGCTTTCTCGGAGCCCTGATGCAAGCATCGGATCGACCCATCATCGAGCAGGGCCCTGAGCATGACACCTCATCCATGACGCTCAATGTGATCACGTTGAATCATGGAAATTACACCAAGAATGAAGTTGAATGACAATCACAACGCAGTGCCGGTCAAGACGAAAGTGACACAATGCCAAGGGACAGCAGGAAAGGCACTAACAATGGTTGAGCTTGGCAATCAACGTAGGCAGTCAAAGTACTTGCTCAGTGCCTGCTGGCATTTCCTTGTGAAACGCATGCTCAAGAAAGAGACAAACGCGGTGAACAAGTGGGAAAGTGAAAATGAGCAACACAAATCGACTACTTTGGAGCGTGGAAAGCGAGGCACTCTTGTCAAGTGCGCGAATCCAACCCCCGGATCAGCCTTGGTTCAAACACCGTCTGAGTTCCCGGAATGAGGCAGGGATGTTCAACCCACTGGGTTCAACCCAACTTCGCCAGGATGCACTTTCCCGACTGCTTTTGTCAAAATTAAGGGATGCTTTGAGAGGGCTCTCTGCACACATTGCAGGCCTTCACGCGCTCACTTCTCCAAAAGGTGTGGAAAGAGATGGGGCGGGCTTACGTTTTGGGTCCCCTGGTTTGGGGGACGCCTCACGGTGTCTTTACGGGTGGGCGACATTTGCAATTATGGCTCAAGTGCAATTCCTTCAGTGGCCTTGGATGGATTCATGAACTTTACGCCACGTCGCGGGCCTGGACTAACTGGCATTCACTTCTCGAAGAACTTGTCCCTTGCTTCCTTCCCTTTCTCAACCCTTCGCCAATTCCATTTGACCCTCCCACTTCTTTTTCAGCCCTCCCCCTTCTTTGTTCACACCCCGCCTTTCTCTCTATCCCTCCACCTGTTCCTTTTAACCGTCCGCCTCTTGTTTGTCAACCCTGTCAGCAAAGCCTACGGCAACTGCGCTGAGCAACGGCTGGTTTGGGGTGGGCTTAGGGTTTGTAAGGTGGGTTTCGCTTGGCCTTAGGTAGGTTTAGGTCGCGGGTTGGCTCAGGGGTTAAGGGTTTGCTTACGGCGGGTTTGGGGTTGGTTTAAGATGGAAAGGGTGGTTCACAGTTGGTCTAGGATTTGGCTAGGGTTTGTTCAGCCTGGGCTTAGGGTTGGCTTAAGTCGGTCAAGGGTGGGTTTAAGGAGTTTTTAGGTCTAGTTGCGCCCTGCGTCACTGTTCGAATTTTCTTACTTTTACCGCCCCGCACCGGCCTTGCATGTCCGCCGCGCGGATTCGGATTCGGATCGATGGATGCATAGATAGAAACATTAGGACATCTGTGGGTCCATTTTTCCAATTTTTCAAGTTCTTCAAATGCAATTAGGAATATTCGAAACACTAGGAAATTTGAGGGCCTATTTTGTCTAATGTTTCTATTGTTTGTCTAATTTAATTTAAAACATAGAAGAACAAAAACTGGCGGAAGACTGGGGGAAGTAGAAACATTAGAGCAATTAGGAAATTTGAGGGCCTATTTTTCATATTCTTCTAATTTTCCTAGTTGAAAAAATGGAAAGTTGAGGGTATAATGTTAATCTTCTTCTTTTAGTTTAATTCGAACAATTCGACAACATATGAAAAATGAGGGCCTAGTTTTCCACCTTTTCTAGTTTAGTTAGAAAAATAGAAAATAATTTGAATAATAAAATGAAAAATATGGAAAATAGGGCGCAGGATTCCGAGAAGTGGGTCCAGGAAGGCTACCAAAAGGCTACGAAAGACTACGGGAAGTAGAAAAAATAGAAAAATAGAGGGCCTATGTTTTGCTTTTTCATCATTTTCCTAATTGAAATAGGAAAAATAGAAAAAAAGCCCTCGAGTTGCTTTCTATACGTCCAATAAATTCAGAAGCAAGAAGACTGACCAGCATAGAAACTTGCACCAAAGCATGTGCGCGACACGTTGCGCATACTCTTCCCTCTTCCCTCTCCTCCCAGGCGGTTGCCCAAACGCACGCTGCAAACAAGATGCGCGCGCTGTCCAGTCCGGGCAAACCCCCCGATTGAAATGCGCTTCCAACATGTTGGGTTGACGGGGGGGTTTGCCCGGACTTTCATGCTGCCCCGGGAGGGAACGGGGGGGGGGGGGCGTGGAAAGCACACGGCGTGTCGAGGCCAACCTGTGTTTCAAGCTAGCCGAACCCCCAGCCCCACACGCCATGTGACTTCTCCGCTATCTGCGCGCTCTACGCGGCTGCGCAGTCCCAATTGCTTACCTGACACGCTGCCACTTTGCCACAGGTGGTTTTAGACACCTGGTGTCTAAGAGGGCTTGGGGTCTTCTCGCGTTTGAAGGAGCTACCTTCCCGAAAGCTGGTCTTTGTCTCCGCTGCGCTTTCAGTACCGTGCAGGAACGGAAGTTCTGCCAGCAAGTTCTCAGCGCAGCTCATGACTTGTCTGCTTCGCATATATAAGGCAGCCCGGCCTGGACAGCTGCATGCACGTGTTGGTGGCATTCTGAAGGTCTCTCGCTAAGAGAGTCAAGCAGTCCTGAAGCCTGCTTTGAGCAAATGAGAATGCTGCGCCTGCCAGCACCGCGTATTCGAATCCGAGATTCGAATACGCAAAGTTGGACATTTCCAGACTTTCCAGTGGTCCCACCGACGCCACGATTCGCTGCTATTCGCATAGGATTTGCACAATTCCCAACCCATGTCCAAGAGTGACCGTCATTCGGTCCGGGCAAACCCCCCGGCAACCCAACATGTTGCGTGAAAACTAATTCTCAAATGCGCTGCGGTCCCTCGCCTCCGCTTCCATCGCTGCCAAACAAAAACAACTGGAGCCGAAACCGCCGCAGTCTCTGTCTTCTTGGGTTGGAGGGCAAGCCATGGTACAACCGTTGGAGGTGTGGCAAATGGGAGAAAGTGCTGCAAGTGTTTTCCAGGGTGCCTATAGGCTGCCGGTGTCTGAAGTCCTGAGAGGGCATCAAACTGCAACTTGGCGAGCACAAGGTAGAAACAAAAACAGAGCAGGCATTGCCCCAGCAAGGCCCCAGCAAAACCCAAAAGGATAGCAGTTCAAGGTAGTTCGCGGCACGACAGCGACAGCACACTACACTGAGGCCGCAAAGGCTGCGCGGCCCTTTTCCGTGCTGCGCTTGGCTGCAAGCTGCGGCGCGCGGTGCCAGCTTGTGGACGCCTAGCGCAAGGCGCAAGTCACGATTCTGCTCTTGCGCCAAGTTGTATTAGATGCCAACAGTTTGTCCCCGCTAGCTGTGTTGCAAATTGGCCGCTCAATAACAGCACTCCAGGCAAGCAATTGTTCCACAAGCAATTGCTTCGGCTCAAGGCACGGAACCACCCCCAAAATACCCCCAGCCTCGTGTCGCATCCGGGGAGTCTGGCTTCTGTTTCCTTAGGCAACATGCGTGACAGTTCTCCCCGCGAAAGCTGCCAATGCGGCCAAGTGTCCAGAACATTCCAGACTCCGCCAGGTGTGGCGATAGAAACTCATCTTCCGATGCCACGATTTCTCACGAAGTCTGGTGACCTGTGAGCTGAGAGGCTGGGCTCCCTTCCTGGGCTTCAACTTTGTTGAAGGCCAAGAGTTGCGAGGGTCCAGGCTTGGCCATCCCAGGCAAGCGCCACAGAGCGACTCCTGCCTGTCCCAAGGCAAACACCGATGAGCCGAGTGTGCTCTTCAGCTCTTGCTCCCAAGCGAGTTGTGTTTTGTACTGTTTCCAAGCTGCTCAGCTCATCAAGTGCAGAACCCAATCCAAAAAGGTTGCAGGGCCTTGAGCCTTGCTAGGACGCTAAAGGATCCCAAACGACCCTACTCTCTGCCGTATTAGGAACACACTGAATCTAAAGCTAGACATGGTCCAGCCATCCAGCCCCCATTTGCCGTAGCCGTCAGCACAAAAAGCCTCAGCTGGAAATGCGAAGCGCGCAACGCTCAAAGAGCACGAGAAACGCGAAACGCGCGGCCCCCGTCGCTGAGGTTGTTGCGAACGCGCGGCTCGGCTGGCATCCAGGCCGGCAGCGGCGGCGTTGCTGCCTAAGGGCTCCCCAGCAAGTGCCACAGGTCTCCAAAGGCCTCCAAAGGTCTCCGGCAAAATCCGTCCAAAGACTTTGTTTGGCGCGTGAAGCTGCTTGTCATTCTGTTTGTTCTGATCTGGGACGATCGCTGGGCGCGTTGTCTGACGATGCAAGACCCGAAAAGATGGGCTCGGGCAAAGTGTCAGAGAAATCTTCAGAGCAGGCACAAGCGTTGAGGCATTTCGATGACCACATTCTCTGATTTTCCGTTGCCGTTGCAGCTGCAAAAAAGGTTTTGCCTTGGGCACGCGCGCCCAGAAATGCGCAAGGATTCAACATAAAGTGAAATGGAGCATGAGAGCCTGATTTTGAGCGATCGAGTTCCTGCAACCTGCTTGACCTGCAACATTCCTGCTCAACCACTGCCAACACAGGTTCTACACCTACGGGCAGCTGCACCCGTGAAATTTGAGACTGCCTGAAACACGCTTCGCATGTTCGCCTATAACCATCGCAACAGGACATGGGCGAAAGGCGGCACGTTTAGCTACTCAGGCTACCTTGGGTCTGCAATGGAATGTGTGCGAGAACCTAGAGCCAAATGCTTGAGTGTGTGTGTGTGTGTGTGTTCAAGTGCTGCTGGCATCTCCGAGCAACATGCTTGAGCACTTATGCAGCCGCATGCTATGCTTACGCAAGGTAACATGATTGCAATCAGGCTAAATGGATGAACAAACGGAACAAAGGGCTTATGGTGATCAAATAGTCTCGTGGCTTGTGATGTACGGAGGCAAGTGAACCGTGGCATCAGGACTCCATGCAAAAGCTCAGACTGAGGGCAGAACACCAAATCCGCCTCTCAGGGTGGGAAATGGTGCGCTGACTCGATAAGTAGCAAAGCTGGGATCGTGGTGCACCTTGGCTCAAGCGCGGCCTCCTCTCGTTAACATCGCCAAAACATGTCGAACGAATTGCTGACGCATGACACATCATGACACTAAGTAAGTAACGGCCTGTTGCACCCGCTGAAACTGACACGCCTCGGAGCTGATTGGAGCTGCTTGGCAAGAGTGCCATGCCACAGCTTCAACCGAGTTGCGCCAGTCCATCCCGAGGAAGCCCGAGACTGTCCGGAAGGATCCTTCAGCGGACGGTGTTGGATAGTCAGAGGCAGTCTCTCAAGGCTGCAGCCAACAGGTGGCAAGGCTGGGCCTCGGTAGGCTGCGAGCGCCTTTGCTTCAAAGACTTGCAGAGCTTGAAGTACCATAGACTACTTTAAAGCCCATGAAATGTGTGCTTCAGAGTTCCTTTGTTGCATTCTCAGTGACACTGGAGCACATCTTGCCAAGAGTGGCTCAGTGTGGAAACTGAAACTAAGCAAACAACGGTGTCGGCACAATAGATGAAAGCTTGCCACCTAGGCACGTGGGAAGGCAGAAGCAGGCAAAGCCGATGCAAGCACCGACTAGAATGCTGAGATCACGGCGCATCCTCCTTGTCCTGGAACTCCTGCTTTCGCATCAGGCCCGGTCCTGAGTGCGAGAAGTGCAAGAAGTACAACAAGTGAAACAAGTGCAACAAGCGCCAGATGTGCAAAAAGTGCGAGAAGTGCAATGAGTGCAAGAAACTGCGAGAAGTGCGAGAAGCGCAATAAGTGCAACAAGTGCGAGAAGTGCAATAAGTGCAATAAGTGCAATCAGTGCGAGAAGTGCAAAAAGTGCTGGAAGTGCAATCAGTGCGAGAAGTGCAAGAAGTGCAAAAAGTGAAAGTAGTGCAAGAAGTGCGAGAAGTGCGAAAAGTGCAAGAAGTGCGCGAAGTCCGAAAAGTGCAAGTAGTGCAAGTAGTGCAAGAAGTGCGAGAAGTGCAATAAGTGCAAGAAGTGCGAGAAGTGCGAAAAGTGCAAGTAGTGCAAGAAGTGCGAGAAGTGCAAGAAGTGCGAGAAGTGCTAAAAGTGCAAGTATAGTGCAAGTAGTGCTAAAAGTGCCAGAAGTGCGAAAAGTGCAAGTAGTGCAAGAAGTGCGAGAAGTGCAAGTAGTGCAAACAGTTCGAGAAGTGCAAAAAGTGCAAGTAGTGCAAGAAGTGCGAAAAGTGCAAGTAGTGCAAGAAGTGCGAGAAGTGCAAGAAGTGCGAGAAGTGCTAAAAGTGCAAGTATATAGTGCAAGTATAGTGCAAGTAGTGCAAGGGGTGCGAGAAGTGCGAAAAGTGCAAGCAGTGCAAGAAGTGCGAGAAGTCCAAAAAGTGCAAGTAGTGCAAGAAGTGCGAAAAGCGCAAGTAGTGCAAGAAGTGCGAGAAATACGAAAAGTGCAAGTAGTGCAAGAAGTGCGAGAAGTGTAAGTAGTGCAAGACGTGCGAGAAGTGCGAGAAAGGCGCTAAGTGCAAGTAGTGCAAGAAGTGCGAGATGTGCGAGATGTTCGCGAATCTATGACAGAAGTGCAAACCGGCTCTCTCAGAACTCGCGGTTCCGAGGTCAGAACCGGCCAACGTGCGCAAAGTCCAGGTCTGCGAGGCAAAATACAAAGGGCCGCTTATGCGACAAGCTTCAATGTGTTGGACGCTGTGTCAATTGAGTTGTGTTTGGGAAGCTCATTGTGTGAGCGGTCTGGAAACTCCCCATTGCTTAAACTATGCACAAAGCAACTCCGCCAACATCTGGTAGCCTGCACTACCCAAATAGTATCACAACGTCGCCAACATCTGCCCTCAGTCACTGAAAACGCACACCACAGGTATCGAGACAGAAAACTCGATTGTGCGCACTCCCGGCTTAGTGTTGGCGCTTCAACCCTGAATGGTGGAAACATGTGGTGTGTATGTGTTGACAAGTCTTCTTGGACTTCTCCGGTTCTGGTGGAAAGGACCGGCGTTCTTCAATGAGTGGAGAAAGCATGTGTTCGCATATAAGTTCCGTTTAGGAAACCAGCCTATAACTACAATTTGCTACCATTCGGGCTGCATCAAAGTGATGCATCAAAGTGATGCACTCGAAGCTTGGGACTTTCTACGATACAGAAATGGGGGCACAAGAAATACGGGAACTGCCCGGGACCGGATCACTAGCTCAACATGATGACAGCATGAGGCATCGATTTGGTGACAGCATGGACAAAACATCTGACAAAGGTGAAGTTCCTGCAGTGACTTCAAAGCACGGACCCCTCACACGCCAAGGCACCCCAAACGTTCCAGCCATGGCCATCTGGTGGGCGGGCTTGATGGCCACCTAAGGCTTGCCGGCCCAAAGCCCCAGCTCCCACAAACGTCAGCCCCTGGCCCCATCATCAGACCTCAAATTCGCTCAAATTCACTTAAAATACTCAAATCCAAATTGACTCGATCTCCGAAGCTAGCCAAGAACCTGAGAACCTGACAGCGGAATCAGCGTTTCACGCTGAGGAACCCCGCCGCAGGAAATCCTCCGCTCCGCGTTTCGAAATCTGTCACTGTGAAAAGCAACTTCTCTTGCAACATGTCCTCTCTTTGGGTAAGCTCTTGCTGCGCATCTCGTGCAACTCCGAGCGGAGCATTTCTAGCATCTCCTCATGAATGATGCGAAATGCATCGAGAGAATCGAGAGCCGAAGTGCATCCCGAAGTTATCCTTCTGCTGCGCGATGAGCGTCAACACCTCGTTCGAGCCAATGTCCACCTGCACCCGACGGGAATGGACATTCTAGCAGCTGCATGCCAGGTTTCGAGGCGGTTCTCAAGTGCATCTGAACCCAGATTGCTTCCTATCTCCGAAAGAAATTGTCTCTGTACAACCTGCTCGGAGCGCGCCTGTGCGCTGCAGGTCTCCGGCCATTTCTGAATTAGATTTGTTGACATGCGTCCGACATCTTAGGATTGCTTCATCACTGAGACTCACTCTCACATGCCTGCGAGAACCTCTGGCTCTTGCTCTTGGGAACAGCACCTGCGCCGACTCTGTGAAATTCCAAGTCTCGCAAGTCTCGCGAGTTCCGGTTCCCGTCAAATGTTTGAGCCCCCGCGCCTTCCGTTCTCGGCAGGTTGGGCGGGGCCTCTGACGGAGCACTTGCAATGCTCCGAAATGATCTCTGGGTGACCTCGTGCGCTGGCGAAGGCGCCAAAGACGCCGAAGGCGACGCCGAAGGCGACGTCGGCAACGGCACCGCCGGCAACGGCGCCGTCGGCAACGGCGCCGAAGGCGCGGAAGTGCTCGGAGCCCCGGGCGAAGCGGACGTCTCCATGAGCGCTGCCTCGCGGCAAGATGCAAAGAAAGCTCGCTTGCCATTTGGTATGAATAGGCCCGCGCCTCCACTTCAGGGTTGCTTGGTACCTGCACCAAGCAAAAGCCGAGAGCATCAAGAGCATCAAGAGCATCAAGAGCATCAAGAGCATCAAGAGCACTGAATCCACGCCTCTGCCACACATGCCTTGACTGTCACAAGGAAAAGGGGAAGGCTGATTTGGCTCAAGCAACAATTCTTTGGATGCCTATCCAAAGTGGAGACTTGCCGGAAAAGAAAGAAAGCAAACCCCTTCCAATCGAACTCCTGAATGTATGCGCCTTTGCAGTTGGCCTACACTCTCATGAAGGCTTTATTAGCTGAGTCACTTAGTTACTCGGTTATTTCACTATTTGTCCTTTCAGCTGTTGCTCTTTATTGATCGACTTAGTTCGTTTGTGTATCCATTTATTCAGTTCCATGATTTGCTGTTTATACATTTAGATATTTATCTATATACTTATGTATCGAGTTGATTATCTTTCTTAATTTGCTTATTCATGAATTCATTTGATTGAGCTACCTACTTGTTCAATTCCCTAATTTGTCGCTTGTACGAAGAAGCTTGTTGGATCGAGCAGCAACTACGTCCAGGAACATCTACGGCAGGCAAGTGACGAACTCCAAAAGCTGGGGCACCCTCCAACAGCTGGTTCAAGACAACAAGCCTGTAGACTCGTCAATGCAATTGAAATTCGGAAATCCAGAATGCTTTGCTGGTGTCCAAAGACTCCCAATCATCCAGCCAATGCTCGCAAAATGAAGGGCCACCCCTTCTGAACTAGCTCTGCCAGTTAAAGTGTATATGGGCAGATCGCGAAACGCCATGAGGGATGGCCTAGTCTCAAAATGCGCCCAAGCCTGAGCTATCCAAGCGGCTCCGGCCACTTTTGGGATCTCCTCAGTGAGCGTTTGGTCGGCCTGCACCGAACTCTTTAGGAAAGCAAAAGCAGTCTGTCGGAACTTGCAGATTTCTCATGAAATTTGTGCATCTCCCACCTCTAGTCGGATCGCTTCCTCGTACTTCTTGAGCAGGTCCAAAAATTTCTCAGTGCCACCACATCTGCTTTTTTACAAGTGACCAGCTGCGCTAAGACGACCACCGGACGGGCATATTCATCCACCTGCACAACAGCTTGTTCAGCAATTATAATGCAAACCAAAAGCTGGTCTATGCCCATAGCATGTGACTTGACATAGTGGAGACTTGGAAGTGCAACCCAAGGCAAGCACTTTGACCGATCCTCTTAGGCGATACTAGCTACTCAAACAGGTGGAAACCAAGCACATTCTGCTACCATCATGCTCAGGCAAAGATTGGATTAGTTCAGCTGTGCCTTGTGCCCGCAACAAGTCTGCAAAGATCTGTGCGTTATGTGGGGTCCTCGACAAAAAGCTTACACGAATGCCTTCAACCAAAAGGCCCAATCTTTCGCGATGGCAAAGCTTTCCTGCAGGTATGAGACCCGAGGGCCGTCCGCGATTCTTCAGATCGCCACTTGGATCATAAGGATTGTACAAGGATATTGCGGTGGGCAAGTGTTGATGGCAGCGAACATGCTTGAGTGCCTGCGATGCTAGAAATGCCTGGCTTGCGCGACAAGTGCTGGTGGAGATTTGATTCTCGCGGTTGAGCTGGTGTACGAAAAAAGGCAGCGGCTACTGCATGGCACTTCATGTTGTGGATGCTGAAACTCTGAATGCTTGGAATGCTGAAAACTTTTGGGGCATGCCAAAATTGCTGGCACCGCCAACAAAGAAATCCGGGTAACCTTCAGATAGCTCCCCTACCGGGTGGTTTGTGGGCGTAGAGCTTTGCCCTTGGAGTAAGCCATCGCGGCCTGAAAGCACGAGAGCAAGGCAGCGTGCGCTGCAGCAGGGTACCCGTCCTGGCAAAATGCGAATTCGGGGCTGAGTCGGGCTTTGCCTTGTTACATTGTTGCCAGATGTATGCTCCACTATGCTCCACTCCTGTGCTGGGAATTCGGGTGCAGCATCGAAGGATGCCTGGCACCGGCAACCAGCTTAACGGCAAATTTGGACATATAATCAAATGAAGTTTAGAAGGAACTTCCGAAGGGACTTCCGTGCTACGACAACTAGTTGAAAGCCAGCTCTCTGCGACTGATGACAAGAGAAGACTAGGCACGCGGCACGGGACGGGACATTGCTCCAGCGTGGCGGGGGAATAGATATGTGAGAAGCGTGCAACCCTCTCCAGATTTCGGCGCTTTGGGATACTCGAAAGGTAGCCTGATCGCGGCGCCTAGTCAGAGCGAGTGCTCGGACCACGTTCGGAGCGCGGGCCCATTGGCACGGACGCGCGCACTTATCGCAACATTAGTTTCGCGCAATGTGACGCACAGATTTCGTGGCAGGCGCAGCACTTTCGCAGGGGCAGGCGCAGACCATATTTTTGCGGGAGGCGCAGCAAGGTGAGGCACAGATTGCGTGGCGATAGATAGATAGATAGATAGAGATACAAAAAAGAGAGAAAGAGACAGACAAATAAAAGCAAGTCAGATAGATAGAGCCGATAAGAATATCGATAGAAATGTGAAAACTCGATCGACAAATAGACAGATAGATAGACGGATAGTCAGATGGGGAGAGCTAGATGAGATAGATGGAAAGATAGAGGAAGAGAGATTAAAAAAAGCTGTGTTGACAGATAAATAGATAGATAGAGCGAGAGAAAGAGAGAGCTGGGTAGAAAGGGACAGACAAATATAATTATATGTATACACACACACGGTAGTTTGATACAAACAAAATAATAATTCTTAGAGATACAGATATACATAGATAGAGAGATAGAGAGATAGACAGATATATTGATACATACATACATACATACATACAGATACTTGGAGGTAAAGACAGATGGGCAGGTCAGAGATAGCAAGATAGACAGCTAAAAATACTATTCCTCCAGTCTGTCTGGTTGGTTATAGATAAAGAAGGACAGAGACAGATAAAGCGGGACAGAGACAGAGAGAGAGAGGGAGAGAGATGGATGGATGAATGGCTGGCTGGCTGGCTGGCTGGCTGGCTGGCTGGCTGGCTGGATGGATGGATGGATGGATGGATGGATGGATGGATGGATGGATGGATGGATGGATGGCAAGAGCCAGATAGATAGATAGATAGATAGATAGATGGTACAGAGACCAACAATAGGGAGAATGGTTGATAAAAAGAGATGGGTAGATAGATAGATAGTACGTAGACAGAAAGATGGATAGGTAGACAGATAGCAGGTCAATTGGTAGACAAATAAACAGATAGGCAAATAGATACAGAGACAGAGAGGGCTGGATGGATAGATAGGTAGAGAACAAGTCAAATAGATTTAGATTAGGTAGACAGTTCGAGGATTACATGGAGAAACACAAACAAACAGATAGGTAGATAGATAGGTTGATATATAGCGAGAGAGAGAGAGAAGGCGGTAGATAGATAGAGGTACAGTTACAAATGGAGGAAGAGATAGAGATAGAGAGTATCAGAGTATAGATAAATAGATAGATAGACAGATAGATAGATCGATAGATAGCTAGATTGATAGACGGACAAATAGACAATTAGAAGATAGCAAGATCGAAGGAAAGAAAGACAAAAAAGCAACAAAGAAAGGAATATGGAACAGAAGCAATTAAAAAAAGAAAGCAGAAGAGAAAGTCATCAAGCTAAGGGAGAGAGAAAGATAACTATAGTTGCTACACTTTTTGAACCTTTCGCCCACTGGCTTCGCCGGCTCCACTGGTATCAGCCACATAGCCACATAGTGGACATATTGGACAGAACAATCACCGGTGGTCACGGCGGCAGCGTTTGCCCGACAAAGCTATTGGCGGTCCCTCCCTCTCTTTCTCTCTCTCTCTCTCTTTCTCTCTCGCTGTCCCCGAACACGCTACACAGCGGTAGGCACGAAGCTTGGCACATGGCGAAGGCCTTGTGGGCTCTACCTCATTACCTTCCACAAAACTGCTCGCCTCTGGGCTGCCTGGAGCTGCCTCAGCCATTTCCCTCATCCTGGCCGCAACCTTGGCACATCACGGCAGCCCTATGCGCCTCACTGGGCTGAACCTGAGGCTGGCTCCTCTGTTCTCTTTGGCCAGTTGACCTGGGAAAACAGTGATGCGCTCCCGAAAGAAATATCGAGCGAGCGCCCGGCCCACGGCGCATTACCGCCCGAGAAGGCCTCCCACAACCTACATCTCGAGCAACGCTACGCCGTTACGTCACTTCTCGATTGAAATCTGCCGGCCCCTTCTCCTGAAAGCACACCTCATGTTCTTGTAAACGGATGCACATGACAATAGTAAGGGGTGTTATGACGATGATCATCATTGCCATCATCAGACAGTATCTCCATCACCGCCTACTTTGCAAATTTCTCACATTCATATAAATAGAGATTTCAAGTGTCCCGTTATGCACTGTTGGTTGTCATCGTGATCTCAACATTATGGTGATCATGAACATCACCATTGTCATAATCATATCCTTGTTCTCTTGTTATTCTGCATTCCTGTAGACACTGTGGCATTAGACGCCGTTGGAGAGATGCAGGCGGTGCTATGATGAAGTTGCCATCGTCATCATGGCGATCATGAGTATCATCGTCATCAGCACTGTTAGGCACCGTTGGGGACGCAGGGGATGCTACGATAGTTATCATCGTCGTCATGGTGATCATGAGGTCGGCCGGAGCAAAACAAGACTCAAAGGACCAGGTCAAACCACTGCCTGGTCCCGGCCGCGTGCCGAGGCTGATTTGAGTCTCAGGCAGAGCTCCCACAGACCAAACATCCGCTCGGCAGCTGAGCCTCGAAACCGGCGCCGGTCTCAAGGGCTTTGTATCATGTCCCTAAAGGCCGTGATCAAACCAAACATGGCAAATTGGTGTCGTGTTTCACTTACTCGTGGTAGTAACTCGGTGATTTTCCCCATGTCATCCCCGAACAAGGAGTTTTGTCTGCTCATCCCGTGTCGCGAGCCAGTCCCATTTTGCGTGATTGTGTGGCCACTATTCGTTGTCCCTCCTCAATAAGATGACGCGACGCACAAGTCAAGTCGCAGCTCTGGCAACTCTGACAGAGGGCGGCGCTTTTGATGGGCCACGGTCTCCGGGGACACCCACCTCGTGGCCTCAATCGTTTCCCGTCTCCCGTGAGCTCCCATTCCTGTGGCCTTGTCCAGCACGATCTTCTCAGTCTCACTCCCCATCAGTCTCACTCCCCTACACTGTCCACCTCTGAAATCCTCTCAATGGAGGATCGAGCGCATGGTGACCAAGTAATCCTCTGGCTGCGTAAGGAAGCAAGGAAGCAAAGAAGCAAGGAAGCAAGGAAGCAAGGAAGCAAGGAAGCAAGGAAGCAAGCAAGCAAGCAAGCAAAGCAAGGACGCAGGCAAACAATTCAAGGAAGGAAGAAGGGAAGGAAGGAATGACAGAAGGACAGAAGGACAGAAAGAAGAAAGAAAGCCAGTTGAGAAGGAAGGCAGAATGGCAGGAAGAAATCAAGAAAGAAGGCATGCAATGCAAAGAAGGAGGGAAGGAGGAAGGAAGGCAGAATTCAGGCGCGAAATGAAGAAAGACAGGGAAAGGAGCAAGCAAGGAAGGAGGAAGGAAGGAAGAATGGAAGCAATGAATGAAGAAAGGAATGCAACTGTGCCTGTTGAGTGGGTTTGACTAAGTTGGAGTCTGGAGGCGAAGTGTCCATCGTTTCTCACGCAGCCAACTCAATGCAGAAAATATCAATGTAAATTGCACACATCTACAAAATATGCGCATGTAGATGCATGGCGTGCACATGAGATGTATCATGTCATTCTTCTTTGTTTTGTTGCACTTGACAATGCCATGGCCTGAGGCTGCTTTCGGATCTTGTGATCCATGCCCTCCTGAGCGCAGCATAGCTTGCCAGAACTGAAACATGCGTCAAAGCAATGGCACCTCGATGATGGCTGAAAGACCAAAATCTGTGACCTGGCAGTTTGAAAGGGCGTGAGCTGGCAATTCACCGTCTGAAGGCGGAAAGACCAACACAAACGCAACCCTGGCATGATCAATCGGATCAATTCCAGCGCAATACAATGTGTGCCTTGACCAAGATGCTGTCAGGATCCTCTCAGCGTCATTCAATCCGGTCGGTTCCGCAAAATCATCTGATGGCTCTAGCTCTGTGCCATCAAATCTTCAAGCTTCGACATGCATCGCGCCGAAACAGCCTTCCTGCGACAAGCGCTGCACCAGGATGTTTCTGCAGGACAAGTCTGCGTGGGCCTGGGGTAAATGGCATATGGTCGAATCAGTCGCCACGATACTCACTGCCTCAAGCTATTGATGTTGACCTGTTCATGGCAGGGTGGAAGAATTCAGATCTCGATAAGGGTGACATCCGCTTAGGAATTCAATAGCACTAATCGCTTCAAGCGTCCTGGCGCCTAAAACCCGGCTGACATTGAACACGGTGCTAAAAACAAGCAAGCTCTAAAGCACAAACATGAACCCTAACACCTTCCAACAATCCTAGAACTGAATCATGCACCCACGTGCAAAGCTCTGGCTCCAACTGCCAACAAGAGACCATTGCATCCACAAATCATAGGCGAGCTGCAAGTATATGGAAAGTCAAATTGCAGTGGACAAAAAGCGTGCGAAATCCATCCTTGAATTTGCATTGACCGTTGGAAATTTTACGTGCCGCTCAAAATGAAAAAGCGGCAGCTAAACTACAAGCCCAAACCCTAAGCACGGAAACTGTCTGCATTTCCTTTCTCCATTTAGATTTCAAGTGACAATTAAACTTCTCGAGATCTTCCCACCCTGAAGCAAGATCCTGAGGTGAGATCCTTGCACAGCCACCAAACATTGACGAAACCGGTCAAACACCCCTTAATTTGCCTTCAAATCCTGGAAACCGGTCAAGTTCTTTCTAGAAACCGGATTCCCCTTACAAACTCGTTCAAATTCCCATGGACACCGGTCAAATTCCCATCAGGAAGTTTGCGAATTCCGGTAAACAATCGGTCAAATCCACACCGTAGACACAGGTAAGCCAAAATCCATGCACAACCGGTCCAATTTTTGAACCGGCCAAATTTCCCCCATAGAAGCCGGTCACATTCCACCTAGAAACCAATCAAATTCAATTCCTACTCAAAACCCGCCAAATTCCTCCTAGAAATCCTTATAGAAAGCCATCGAAACCGAAACCGGTCAAATGCCCCCCTAGCCAGCCCATTCAAGTCTTAAGTTTCTCGACCCAGACAGCTCAGGCATTTCGGCCCGACTCACTCACTGAAACCACAAGGCAAACCAAAGCACAGCACCTCAAAGCTACTGGCCACGGGCGACGGCGTTTACAATGAAATGCACGCATCTTCTGAATTCGCTGATTTAAGTGGCGCTAAAGAATAACCTGAAGCACATGCCAAAACTCAGAAGCCGTACCTTGGAACCCTGAAAGACTAAAACTGCAAAAGCCTCATTCCTTTTTGACTTTTGCTCGTCTTTGGCATATGTCCCCCACTGCCCGACATGCCTTGGAAACTGCAGACATCTAAAATGGAGAAGCAGCACCGAATGCACATATCTAAGCGAAATGCAACCCTGCAACCTTGAACCCGAAACACTCAAACTGTGATTCGGGCACGAACCTGTGCCCAGGCAATGGGTAAGTTGGGGTAAACAAGCCACAAAAGAAAGGTTCCCCAAAAGCAAACCAATCCCCGGTCCCAAAGATCAGGGTTTCCCACACACCAGAGAACAACAACCAAAGGAAAACAAACCAAACCAGAAAAGGATACCCGCAACCTAGATCGACGATGAACCGCACGGGCGATCCCCACCAACCTACCCCGGGCCGAAGTCTCTTTCTCCTCCGACACGAAGGCGGTCGACGTGAGGGCCCGGCGACGCTCATCCGAGGCGCGCCGGATCCAAAACTTGAGCCAAAACACCACAGGTCGGTCACTAACGCGACGTCCCTGATGATGATATGAACCATGGCTAATCACACCCCCCTCACGAGGAGCCCGTCATATGACGGGTGGAGCGTGCCATTTACTGATAGGATTTAACTGCTCGCATGCGTCCGCAAACAGCTGGACACTACCGCCGTCAGCGGTGGAGCAAACCCACAAAGGCAGTTGCGCGACATCCCGGGCATTAAATTCCCGCCACCACCCCGAATTAATCGGGGTAACGCTGTCCAACAACCTTGTGGAAAAGTCCACATGACGACACTAGGTCACAACTGTTTGCATCAACAATGCAAGAAGTTTAATTCTTATCAGAAGCCATGAAATAAAAGATAACGTATGTCCATTAGTACCCTCGCCTAACGGCAAGAGGTACTCCTGACCATGCGTACCTGAATAAAAATGCTTGAATTCCGCAAACCCGGGAGTAACCCCCCATCAGTTTGCTTTCCCTCTCACTCACACTGCTCCCTGATGAACACGTCCAGCAGCCCAGCAGCGGTATGGGAGAGACATGACCTCCGCGCCTCAGCGGTCCGGGAGGAACATCACCACCTCCGCACCGCGCCGACCATTGGAGAACGGACGCAAGCCTATCGGCCGCAATCCTCGTGACTCAGCCTACTGGCTATCGTCACGTCTCCTCCGGTCACGTCCGCCCCGCGCACGGTCCCTATCACGATCCCTCTCGGATCTCCTGCGATCATCTCGCCTTCGATCTCGCTCCCGATCGAGTGATTCATCATCACGACGATCACGAGCATCGTCCCTCCTCCGGTCTCGCTCATCCTCGCGCCGTGGACGGTATCTGCGCCTCCTTGACTCCCTGGAATCCCTGGTGTCCACGGTCCTAACGGACCTCCGAGAAGGAGTACGGGAAACATCCGATTCCCTACGCCTCCTCCCAGATCGAGAGTTCGTCACGATCTGGTTGAGAGCCTCCAGTGCCGACGCGTCCTCACCATTCCTGATGAAATCCCTGACCTGCTTGTTCAGCACTCTGTTGGTGGAGATCGACAAGAAAGCGTCCACCACCGAACTCTCAGGCAGCACCAGGAAGTGACCCTCCACCGGGCTCGCCGCGGCCCGCTCAGCAGACTGCAGCCGGATCTCCCCGCCTTCAGGCTTCTTTGCCATCGCCTTGGAGGCCGTCAAAGGCGCTACCGCATCCTTTGCCGAAGATCTGCCAAGCGCGGAGTGAAGATCATCCCCGCTAGCTTCTCTCGCTGCCGCACCTGGTCTGCTGTCGACGTCGCCAGGCCTCGTGGACGCCTCCCGCTTTGTCGACTCCTTCGCAGCCTCGTCGGGATCCCAACGGGATTTCCTTTCTCTCTTCTGCCCTTCGGCCGACCCGCGGCTACCGCCGGGAGCGTCACCTCCGCCTGTCTTCTCCTTCTTGACCTCAACCTTCGGTTCGGCCTGCTTCGTCTCCTTAGCCACAGCTTTTGGAGCCGGAGCACTCTTCGCCTCAGATGCTGAAGCAGCGGCTGCCTTCGGGGTCTCCTTGGCAGCCACAGAGAGCCTCCATCGGCCTCAGTGCTCAGCCTTCAACCTTGGAGGCACTCGGCCTGGCTCGGCCCAAGACTTCTTCGGCTGAGCTGGAGCAGGTCCAGCATCATCCTTCGCCTTTGGGACAGATGGGCTACCGCCCTTACCAGATCCTTTACCTGGCACTTCACCTGATTTTGGTGGTGGGCCGGAAGGACTACCGCCCTTACCGCCCTTTTCCCCCTTTCTTCCCTTTTCCTTTTCCGCCCTTGGGGACCGGCTCCTGCTTGGGACCAGGACCCGGCGCAGCATGATGCACCGATTGGAGTCCCTCGATGTCCACGTTCAATGGTTCGGGTTGACGACCGTCAAGAACCGTCCTCACCCTTTCGTCACTAACGTAGACGAACGGGTCACGGAAGGGTGCGGGAGGCTCCGACTGTCCGGCGCTGATCGCCTTCTGCACCTTGGCTATCGCCTCCTTCAACCTCTTCTTCTCATCGTACCCTGTCTCCGATACCATGTACTTCCTGAGCTGCGAGATCAACGCATGACTCTCCAGGATGTCCACGTCCTTTCGATGGGTCGGGTACAATGGGGTCAGATGACCAGCCGCGGAACCAATCACGTATGCCATCGGAATATAGAATGACAAGTACGTGTCATGACGAGCGAACTTCCTAACGGAAGTCGTCATACGCCTACCCCACTGAGCAGCGTGTCTTGGGTTGGCCCGGAAGTACTCCGTGACCGACTCAAATCTATCGACTTGGTTGGTCTTGATCAGGTGCTTCGCCACCCACTTCTCCACAAACGCATCCGAGGCCGAAATCCCGGACACATAGGAGAATTGGAATAGCACCTTCGCCAGCTCATCCCACGCCGCATCGACACCTCCCTTGTCTTCACCAAGATAAGGGGGAAGTCTGATGCCGCTCTGCACCGTCATCCTTAGATCGGATGCCATCGAATAGGAAATCAAATTCCTCTTGATGACTCCGACCACTTCGGAGGGAATCCTCCTGGGCTTGAACTGCCCCATGGTCCTCACCCACTCCGGCACGATGTGGCACCTTTCGAAGTCCTTTTCCTCCGCGTTGGGGATAAAGTTCGGGTAAAAGACCGGGAGCGCGCACCCGGGACACAAGTGCATCCCATTTGGCATCAATTCTGCGCACCTCAAGCAGAACGTGGCAGTCACATTCAGCCTGATCTCTTCCCGTGATCGCCTGTGCTCTCCCCTAACGGGGGTGAAGTCACCGTAGTCCCATGCCCGATGGTACACTATCGTGTAATCATCGTACATATACGCCGCCTTCCAAGCCCCCATGTGGATCTCGTTCCTAACGGCAAGAGTCTTCCTTCTCGTCAAAAACACGGGTCCAACCAAGGACCAGTGCACCCGAAGATCCACCATTACCACCACGTACCTACCGGAGTAGTTCCGCAGCCTGTCCCTGACATACCACGAAGGCGATACCTCGGCATCCGGCGCCATGGCTCCCACAAGTGGGATCAGGCCCTCATCCTGCCTACCATCCCCAATGGTCTCGTACACATCGGGCCTCGTGATCAATATCTCGATCATGGCCTTTCCATTTCGCCTCACCCTTTGGAGCTGAACCGCCTTCCGAAAGTCCGAGAACTTCATGATGACGTATCCCACCATGGGGAGTTCATTCCAATGCATCTCATACATCAGAGATCCGCCAGGTGCATCTTCCTGAGTATACCTGTGCCTAACGGCACTGTAACTCAAGTCGCGTCCGATCCGCGTGTGCCTAACGGCAACCAACCTGGTGCTCTCTCTGA